GCCGCTGGACAGGTTCACCAGTGATTGGCTAGAGCAGTCAGATAGAGAATATTTTGAATCCTATTCTTTTTACAAAAAGCACTGATTTTAATTTGGACACTGAATGTATCTGACTGATTGGTGCTGAGTCAGTCAGACTGGAAAAATAAAGTTCAGTAAACATGAAAATTGCCATTCCATCTCGAGTTTTGCAGTTTTTGCCTAACTGGTGTCAATGACCAGCTAATGCTTCCCCATTAACCAGGGCAGAAAATGGTGGGCAGCAGATGGGTATGTAGGGATACTACTTCTGTGTCAAACTGTTTGAAAACTGTTTAAAGCGGCACTGTCATGCCGAACTTACCTTTCCTCAATTGATTCCCCTTCTCTGTCTCAGGATCTGTTCTTAATACCTTCCTATCTAATTTAGTTTTCTTTAAAACATAAGACAATACTCACCCTTTTCTCTGTGATCTCGCGATGCTTCCTTTCAGTATTCCCGAACGTCCTATCATGTAGACAGGGTGCCGGTGCAACTACGAATTTTGTCCTAACAGAATAAGAACAGTGTGGCAAATATGCCTATACCACAAACTCCTGGAGGAGCTTGCTAGCTAGCCTCCTTCCCAAGGACTATGGGCCATGTAACCGACCCTTAAAATACTTGGTTCGTGTGTTTTCCCTTTTCAGTTCGGGAACCAAACAAACTCACGAATTGCGGAACACCTCTGGGCTTGTTAACCCCTATTAACCTCTCCTGACACTTCCATCATCATTTCACACTTGGCTATACCAAGTGTTCAGCTGGGTGACCCCCGTTTGCATGAATGAACACGTGGGAAATGAGCTGGCGGCCAGGCAGCGGTGTTCAGTCGTCAAATGCAGACTAACTCACGAACGCCTCTGAACTTCCATCCTCACCTGGTTTCGTTTCAGTTCACCTGAGAAGAGCGCTATTCAGTAGGATTGTTCGCATGAACTAGGCGAACAATGGCTACCACCTTTCTTATGGAACTATTTTGGGCAGAGGCCACATGTGCGGTCGGTCAAAGCTTTACCCCGGTGGCGATTCGGCTGTGTTCGTGGGCTCTGAGAGCTTTTTGGATATGTTGGGCGCTCAGATCCAGGCTACACGGGGATATAGGACTTGTGAGCAAGGAACGTTTTAGCCACGAGGCAAACAAGGCATTTGCCTTGGGCGGCATTTTCCAGGGGGCGGCAAAAAAGCCGCCCCAAATGCCCAGGGCAAATGTCTTGTTAGCCTTGCGGCTAACTGACATGCCGGTCGGGCTGATGGGCTGGCTGCTGGGCAGTCGGGAGGCGGTCGGGGGGCGCTGGCGGGTGGCTGACGAGGGAGCACTTCCTCTGAGCTGTCTGCTCAGCTCCCTCGTGCGCCGCAGAGTGAGGCAAGGAGCCGGAATATGACGTCATATTCCGGCTCCCAGCCTCACTCTGCGGCGCGCGAGGGAGCTGAGCAGAATGCTCAGGGTAATTGCTCCCTCGCCAGCCGCCTGCCAGTGCTGCCCGCCCAGCAGCCACTGGACCCCCAGTGAGAAAGAGAACCCCCCCAGCATTCCCAAAGGTAAGGAGGCTGGGGGGGGGAAATGTGTTAATGTGAGTGAGTGTGTGTGTGTCTGTTAGTGTGTGTCTGTTAGTGTGTGTGTGTTAGAGTGTGTGTGTTAGTGTTTGTCTGTTAGTGTGTGTGTCTGTTAGTGTGTGTGTGTGTTAGTATGTGTGTGTCTGTTAGTATGTGTGTGTCTGTTAGTGTGTGTGTGTGTGTGTGTTAATGTGTGTGTGTGTCTGTTAGTGTGTCTGTTAGTGAGTGTGTGTCTGTTAGTGTGTGTGTATGTCTGTTAGTGAGTGTGAGTGTGTCTGTTAGTGAGTGAGTGAGTGTGTGTCTGTTAGGTAGTGTGTCTGTTAGTGTGTGTGTGACTGTGTGTGTCTGTTAGTGTGTGTCTGACTGTGTGTGTGTGTCTGTTAGCGTGAGTGTGTTTGCCTGTGAGTGTGTGTCTGCTAGTGAGTGAGTGTGTGTCTGTGTGTGTCTGTTAGTGAGTGTGTGTGTCTGTTAATGTGTGTGAGGGTGTTTCTGTTAGCTAGTGTATGCGTGTCTGTCAGTGAATGTGTGTGTGTATTTAGAAGGCAGGGCGGGGGGAAGGGTTGGGTGGGAGTGGCACGGGGGGGGGGCGCCTGAGTTTTCGCCTGCCTAGGGCAGCACAAAACCAGGATACACCACGGCTTGTGAGGGTCCCTTGTAATATTGTTTGTGTTTTGGGGTGTTTAATATTTTGTGCCTTGTACCTTGTACAAAGTGAGGACCGAAAATCCGGAAGTGATATCATTACGCATGACATCAGAATCAGGTGATCGGATGGCGAGTCACGTCACGCGGAAGTTCGGCGAACCCGGAAGTGAAGACAAACGCAGGCAAAACAGCGCCAAATCCAATGACAGAAGCACTATTTAAAAGGAAGAAGAACACAAAGTGAGGACCGAAAATCCAGAAGTGATGTCATTACGCATGACATTAGAATCAGGTGACCGGATGGCGAGTCACGTGACGCGGAAGTTCGGCGAACCCGGAAGTGAAGGCGAACGCCGGCAAAACGGCGCCAAATCCAATGACAGAAGCACTATTTAAAAGGAAGACCAGTATTTACCATACACTTTGACAAAGACCTGGAGGTCGGAACACGTTAGTGTTGTGGACTTTCTATTTTATATGTTATTCAAGCTTATTTTCTGTATCCTGTATTTTTAACCAGTAAAGTTCCAAATTGTTCTTTACTATTGGATTCATTGAAAGGCTGGAAAGAGATTATCCTGTCTGGGAAGCTGAAAGCCAGAATAAGCTAATTATTCATCTGCTACTGAAGTCAGAGCCAGCTTTATGTGGCTCTGCATATTGTGAGTGACCCAATATCTTAATTAATGCTTTTTGTATAACAGTATTACACTATGTATGTGTTTTTATTGTAGGATAATCAGGAGGTGTTCCACTCATAATATTAAGTATACAAGATTTTCTGTATATTTCTTGTGCACCCCCCTTATATCTTTTTCTTTCTCACTTCATATCTGAGTGCCATTTAGTGATTTTGGGCACTGGGGGTAGTTGCGTATTCTTTGGTTTTTAGCGCCAATCCACCATTTCTTTGTTGTGTTTTCATTCTATACCGGGGTGATTATTAGTTTAACCCCTTAGTGACCAGACCATTTTTCAGTTTTCTTACCGTTAAGGACCAGGGCTGTTTTTAAATTTCTGCAGTGTGTTTGTGTTAAGCTGTAATTTCCTTCTTACTCATTTACTGTACCCACACATATTGCATACCATTTTTCTCGCCACTAAATGGTCTTTCTAAAGACACCATTATTTTAATCATATCATATAATTTACAATAAAAAATGATAAAATATGATTAAGAAAATTACAAAAAACAAAAACTTTTTCTAACTTTGACCCCCAAAATCTGTAATGCATCTACAACCGCCCCCAAAAAAAACCTATGCTAAATAGTTTCTAAATTTTGTCCTGAGTTTAGAAATACCCAATGTTAACATGTTCTTAGCGGTTTTTCGGCAAGTTATAGGGCTAGAAGTACAAGTAGGAAATAGCTGTTTCAAAATATATTTTTTTTTAAATGTTTCAATAGTGACATTGTAACACTGTTATCTGTCATAAATCTCTGAATCACACCTCACATGTACATATTTTTTTAAATAGACAACCCAGGGTATTCAATATGGGGTATGCCCAGTCTTTTTTTAGCACCCACTTAGTCACAAACACTGGCCAAAGTTAGAATCTATATTTCTTTGTGCTAAAAATGCAAAAAACAATTAAGAACGCTAACTTTGGCCAGTGTTTGTGACTAAGTGGCTACTAAAAAAGACTGAACTTCCCCATTTGCAATACCTTGGGTTGTCTTCTTTTGCAAATGGTATGCTCTCATGGGGGTAATTCTCATTCCTGGGCTACCATACGTTCTCAAAGGCATCATAACCAATCTGACAAATTTCAATGTGAAAATCAAGCCTTATGTTTGACCCTGTAACTTTCAAAAACACTATAATACATGTACATGGGGGGTACTGTTATACTCAGGAGACTTTGATGAACAAAAGTATTAGTGTTTCAAAACAGTAAAACATAACACAACAATGATATCAGTGAAAGTGCCGTTTGTGTGTGAAAAAATGAAAAAAAAAAGTCACTTTCACTGAGTGCCTTGCCCTATCGAGTCAGTCTGCGCGGTGCCCTCGCTGGGCGAAGATGGATTATTTTTTGAGTGTCTGGATTTTTCTTTTCTTGGCGTGTTTTTTTTTGTGCTCAGGTCATTTTTCTTTTTTCAAAGTTAGACGGCTTTATGGATTTTAATTTGCCCTTTTTTAGGTTTTAGAAAAAAGAAGACATCAAATGGTAAGTATTTTTTAAATTTTATTTACAGGTAGGTAGTTTTATTGTTCCCCCCTCACTATTTTTAGGATGAGGGGGGTAGGTGGGGCTTTATTTTATTTTTTAGGGGGGGTGGGTGACTAGAGTCTTGGGGATCCCCAGTCACCTGTGTGGGGGGGATATTTTTGCATTTATCCACCACCTGTTGCCTATGGGTGGGGGCCAGGGGGGGAACGATGACAATAGGTCCTCCCTCACATTATCATTTAGGGCCCCCAATAGGTCCTCCCCTAATGTATTTTAGAGCCCCCACCCACTGCTCATGGGTGGTGGCCGGGGGGGGAAACAATAGGTCCTCCCCCCCCTCCTTTCATTTAGGACCCCACCCGCCGTTCATGGTTTGGAGCCAGGGGGAAGGGACAATAGGTACCCCCTCATATTGTCTTTTAGGTTCCCCACCCGCCACTCATGGGTGGGGGCCAGGTGAGGACAATAGGTCATCCCCTATTGTCTTTTAGGGCCCCCATCCGCCACTCATGAGTGGGGCAGGGGGCGGGGAAAATAGGTCCTTCCACCCTCTTGTCATTTAGAGCCCCATCTGCCGTTCCTGGACATTCGTTGTTTGTTTGTTCATTTAACATTTCTATTCATTTATTCGTCTTTCTGATGAATGAATAGATGAAATTCCCGTCTGAATTTCGAACAATAACGAATGCCCAAGTGTTTACCTGGGCATGCACGGGGAATTATACAGAGTTAGCTAGTGTGAGCAGATGACATGTCCCACAGGGCCTTCATCTGCCCACGCACAAAATAAAGTAAAACAAAAAGGTAATATGGGTGACTAGGGGCATTTGGGGGGGACTAGGGGTGTTTGGGGTTGACTAGGGGGGCAATTAGAGGTAGTGGAGTCAGGATGGGGGTTAAGAAACAACAGAGGTGACCACTAACAGTGCTGCTTTAACACTAAACGGTAAGATTGTGCCAGGGGACTCCAGACACCATAGACACTTTGAGATTGTGTCTAGCGTTCTCCTTTAAGGAAAAAAAAAAGTGTTTTTCCTCCTTTCCCTCTGCCAGATATTTAAAATTAGCACTCATACAACCAGCCACAGTGTAAAGGAATAGGAAGACTACTATGTGTTTTACTCTCCATTCTGATTGTTGAATAAATTATCCCGTTTCAGCACAACACTTCCATGTACAGCATGGCAGGGCATCCATCTCCAGGAAGGGGTTACACACATTAAAGTGAAACATTCCTGTAAACAAAGCTTCATACAGCTTCATGTTTATAACAACTTATTATTCACTTCAAGGTTATTACAGTCACATACCAGATTTCTATATTATATTTTTCTTTTTCATTCAGTCATTTGTCTATTCAAGGAGGTCAAAATTGCATGTTTTGTTTTACCTTTGGAATTATGCAAACTGTTGAAAGAATATATGCCCCACATTTGTGTTTGTATTTGAGTTTTTACTGAAGGCACACTGAGTCACAAAGATTTTTGCGTGATTTATGTACGTTATTGAAAAGGTATTTTTCTAAGGAATTTACGCTGGATGCTGACAAAACTATGAAGGCAGTTGATATGCTGTAACTATAATTACCATCCCGGGGATCTGGCTTGTAATTAATAGGCAAGTCATAACACAAAATGTTTCCTAAGCAATCATAAACACATTCACTGATTAAAGAATGGATTCCAGTGGTACCTCGGAATTCATTTTAAACACCCAATGTAACCCTTTATCGTACCTTTGTCTGGAAATCCATTTCTCTTCAATGGCTTGGCTTAGATTTCTTATACCATCACCTGCCTCAAATATTTTTCTGATTTTTTTTTCCATTTTACAGCTGTTGAACAAAGCTTTTGTTGTGTATACAATTACTGAGAATGATCCTGTGTTTTAGATGCTGTAAAGTAAGCCAAACCATAGATAAAGCGATTAGATGGAAACATATTTTAATAGCTTAGGTCAGCACAAAAGGCCACAGGAACACAAAGTATTTTGTTAACATTTTCAGAGCCGGAAGGGTGCGCATATCAAAATTGTTCATATATCATGTATGTGGGAGTTATAACTCTCCCCCTGTGAGGGCTCCTGCGTTATTGATTGTCTTACTTTATCTCAAAGGGTGGCAAAAACTACAGTGTCTCAGAAAACATATTGGAAACAAGAAAATGCATTCAAAATGATAACTATAAAACACAGGAAATAATGTAAGGGAGTTATATTATTTTAGGAATGTAAAATAGCTTTAATGTATTTGGTTTCTATAATATAAAATGTTTAGACCATGGGTCCTCAAACTCCGGCCCCCCAGATGTTGCTGAACTACAACTCCCATGATTCTCTGGCTATGTGACTACAATCATGGGAGTTGTAGTTCAGCAACATCTGGGGGGGGGGGGAGGGGGAGAGTTTGAGGACCCATGGTTTAGACTGTATTCTGTATAACTTAAAGTTCCAGAATTACAATAGTCTAATAGAGAAATTATCAGAAGACATTGTGATATTCTATTATTTGGATATGTAACAGGCTGACTTTAGTTGGGGTCACTATATCCACTGTGTTTTCACAGACATATCACATATACATATTGATGGGCCTCACAGGAAAAGGGTTGCCCTGTAGTATGTAGAATTCAGAAGAAGGTTGTACAAGTTTTAACAATTAGGCCATGGAGAATCCTGCAGAATATGCATTAAACATACTACAGGGCAACCCTTTTCATGCATTTTCATAAAATATGTCTCTGAAAACATGGTGGATCTGGTAACCCTATGTATACTGCACTTTGCTGGGTATTAAATCTCAGTATAGTACCAGGACATACATATCTTAGCAGCTATTATTTCTCAATACCGGCATTAACCCATCCCTCTAATGATAAGATCTTGTAGAATTGGAGATGGTAGACAGAGGCAATGTGATTCTGTTTCAGTAGCTCCTCTCCTGACATGTATGTAACAGAACACCAGCAATCCTTAAAGGGAAACTTCACAGCCCAAATACAAAAATAAATGAATGTAAATCACAGATAAAGCGATCTGAAGTGATTAAAGGGTTACTCCAATCCTTAATATATTTTTTTTAAATGATGCCCTATTGGACATGCACAGAGCAGGCACCAGCCGCATAGCAAGCCACCAGCAATGCCCTGGTAGATCGGAGCATGCTCGCGCCAGCGGGAGGGGTGTGCTCTGTGCACCCTTCTGCCACCTGTGTCATGGCAATGTATATAAGCTTTTTTGAGATAAGATTTTGCTTATTCCAAAAGTGAGTTTTAGGTAAAAACCTGATGAGCAATTTAACATCACCATTACTTTTTATTACAAATGCAGAGATGCATGAATTTTCTGAGAAATTGCTTTTTATTATTTGGTCTTGTTATTATTCTAAGAATGATTTTAAGGTGTAGCCTGAAATATTTAAATATGGGTGAAATAGCTGATCATGTTGGCTAGTCATAGTCACAATAGGTAAGCTGATTGAAAATTCCCTTATTGCATTCACTAACCAGCTCAATTTGGATGTCACTTCAAGAAAACTAAAAATTAGATTTTTGAGGACAGCACAACTCCATGTGTGATATGAAGGTACCTCTGTTATTTAAAGGAACACTCTAGCAGGCTGTGGTAGTTATTGTCACAATATAAGTAAGGGACTCCAAACACACTTACCTTAATCTACAACAGAGAGTACTTAGAGTAATGTCAGAATGGTCAGAGAGATAACCAAGGTCAAGGGTATGTGAAAACAGATAAAATGGTAGACAATCCAATATTTAGGAATACAGAGAATAGGATAACTGATAATCAATCCAAGTCAGCATCAGGGAATTAGCAAAGTCACAAATGCACTTTTGGGCTCAGCAAAAACCACAAAAGGGTGATAGGGACAAGAAATGCTAGGATTTAAGTAGTCTGTATTTTATTTTGATTGGACCACGTGTGGGCATACCCTCTCATGGCCATTGGAGGTAACTAAAAACCTCCATTTGTTTAAAAATGCATAGGGACTTTTTTTTCTTTTGGTTTTTACTACATGCATTTTGGCTGATGTGTACTATGGTCGTTGTTGCCGCCGCCTAGGAATAATGGGAGTTTGAGCACAGGACTTCTTTCTTTGTATTTGCAAACCATTCATAAGCCACAAGAATAGAAAGGCCAGATTAGACCTTGCCAAAAAACATCTAAAAAAACCAGCCCAGTTCTGGAACGGCATTCTTTCAGCAGATGAATCTAAGATCAACATATAGCAGAACTAAGGGTAGAAAAAAGTATGGAGAAGGTTTGTACCTGGGCATTTTAGTTCTAGACTTCAAGCAGTCATTGCCTGCAAAGGGTTCTTGACAAAGTTTTTAAAATGAACATTTTATTTATGATTGTGCTTAAGCTGGAAGAAAGAAGATTTAGTCTAAAGCAAAGGAAATATTTTTTTTTACAGTCAGAACACTAATGATGTGGAATACTCTGCCCAAATATTTCTGGACCTAACTGTATAAACCCCCAGATTTACCTCATGGATCCCAGGTGGGGAATATACCACTGATGCCGATATAAGAGAGTATTCAAATGATCCTAAAAATGCAAGCAGATTTCAATACTTTTTTTAACCAAAATATTGCTATATACAGTGAGCAGTACATGTTTTTTTTGTGCTTATATTCTATATATGTTTTGGAAGGAAACACCACATCTATATCCTTGAGCAGGGATTGTACTGCTCAATGCCAATCCCTTAGAGCTGATTGTGAAGCTCCTTATTTGTAAGTGTGTTTTTTACTCTCTACCACATAGACCACCTGGTATAGAAACACTACACTATTGTCATTTTCTCTATGTATTCTTGTCCACATATTGCTCATGAGAGGTCATGTCAACGTATGATCAAGACGACACCTACCTACGCTATCTACTCTGCACCAGTACCAAAACAGAGAAAACAACACTATACATTGGATTTGAGTTAGCCAATAGCATGGCATCTATATATTAAGATCAATTGGCTGTCATTAAAACGTTTCTCTACTCACAGGAGCCCACTTTGGACAATCAAAATACAATGTAACCATCAGATCTCTTGACTTTTTATTGGTTTGTTTCACAAGTCTTTTTGCTGTTTTATTAAGTACAACCTGCTTTTTCTTCTTCTGTAGTTGTTATAGTTTCTTTAAGTGGGAGAGGTCACGTCATGATTAAATACAAATTAGATCAAACCAACTATATTGCTATTTGCTGTTAACTTATATCATTTCCAGGCATTCTAAAAATGTACACACAAGTGGAACGACCATAGATGGCATTGTATTAAACATGCCCATGTTTTAGGTTGGGTACTAAGCTCTGAGTAGGATCTCTAGTTGCTGCTTAAGCTCAGACTCAGAGGGACGGAAATGTAAAGGGGCTTATCTCATCTGTGTCACCTGAGCATAATCTGAAGATACTGCCTGCTACAGCATCCTCAGATGGTAGGAGAATACCTGCAATTATAAGCTTCTGTTTGCAGACACAGAGAGACTTTATGGACCAAAACCTATATCCTATGTGATTATTGGTTGTTATGGTGTTTACAGTGACACTTTAAGTACTCTGTTCCCACACAGAAGTTCGTCCTCTTATGTAAGAGCGTCAATACTTAACCAAACATGTCTAGACAGTATATACTATTGCAACATGTAATTATTGTATTGTAAATACAGGGATGATTCAATGGATTTCAATTTTATAACCTGCATTATGTCTGCTGAGAAAACACAGTAATGATTAATACTGTGCAATCTGCTCACCATACATTCTAGCATATATATTATTAACTATTTTATGTCCAATTCTTTATTTCTAAGAAAAAGTGACAATTGATCATGCAGGGAATTAGATAAAGTTAGAAGAAAACATGAATATGGAGCAGAAACTACTGTTCGGGATAATTAGCATGTTAGATGTTGTACCAATCTAGATTTTCTTTTTAATTTATAAATTTTTGGTGTTTGATAAGAGTCTGAAACCCTTCCTGGAAAGATTTTCTAAATAATAATATTGTATAATATATAAAGTGGTAATAATGATTATTAATTAATAATCTATAGTGGTACTAAGTTCTTTATTTGTTAATGCATCTAAGCCATCATCTATGCCTAAGGTGAGCAAGAGTGCACCCAGGACAAAAAGGATAAGGTGAGGCCTGATAGAAAGCAGTTGTTGTTGTTGGGGGATTCTATCTTAAGAGGTGTAGAGTTGAACAATAGTGGCTTTGTGATAAGTTTTCCTGGAGATACTGCTCACAGAGACAGGAGACGTATTTGTAATATTGTTAAGCAATCAAAGCAGAAAGGGGAATTGGATGTACTTGTCCATCTTGGGACAAATGATTTGGCTTGTAATGAGGTTTCTGAGGTAAAGGAAGGGTTTTGTGTTATTGTCAATGATATACGGCAGGTTGCTTCCACACTGTCATTCTCTGAAGTTCTGCCTGTGCATAACCCTCAGAATGACAGGTGGATGCATATTAGGGACTTTAACGTGTGGCTTGGTGAATGGTATCGGGAGCAAGGATTTGGCTTTGTTTCTCATGGTAGCTCTATTTAGAATAGAAATAAACTGTACAAAAAAGATGTTTTGCATCTTTCTCAAAAGGGAACAAATGTTCTCAGTGAGAAGTTCAGAGGTTTTGCTAGAAAGTATTTAAACTAGGAGTGGGGACAAAAGGGTGATACAACATCAATCCAATTGCCCCCCACCCCCCAAAACAAAAACAGAAAGTAACTGTAATGAGTGTGTTAAAAAATGATAAGCTTAGAGTCATGTCTACAAATGCTTGCACTTTAGGGAATAAGATCCATTTTAGTGGCTGTTACTGAGACATGGTATAATGAGAAAAATGACTGGGTTATAGCAATACCAGGGTACTCTTTATATAGAAAAGACAGAGAAGGCAAGAAAGGAGATGGGGTGTTCCTGTATGTGAAGGATAGCATAAAATCTAGCCTAATAAAAGTTAGTGAGGCGAACATAGAGTCAGTTTGGGTTACGTTAGAATTTGGAGATCACGCAGTAACTTGATGGTAAGGCATGTCTTTTTGCTGATGATACTAAGATGTGAAACAGGGTTGATGTTCCAGGAGGGATAAGCCAAATGGCAAACAATTTAGGTAAACTAGAAAAATGGTCAGAGTTGTGACAGCTGACATTTAATGTGGATAAGTGCACGATAATGCATCTTGGACGTAAAAACCCAAGGGCAGAGAACAGAATATTTGATGGAGGCCTAACCTCAACATCTGAGTAAAGGGATTTAGGGGTAATTATTTCTGATGACTTAAAGGTAGGCAGACAATGTAATAGAGCAGCACAAAATACTAGCCAAATGCTTGGTTGTATAGGGAGAAGTATTAGCAGTAGAAAGAGGGAAGTGCTCATGCCATTGTACTGAACACTGGTGTGATCTCACTTGGAGTATTGTACGCAGTACTGGAAACCGTATCTCCAGAAGGATATTGATTCTTTAGAGAGAGTTCAGAGAAGGGCTACTAAACTGGTTCATGGATTGCAGGATAAAACTTACCAGGAAAGGTTAAAGGATCTTAACATGTATAGCTTGGAGGAAAGACAAGACAGGGGGGATATGACAGAAACATTTAAATACATAAAGGGAATCAACACAGTAAAGGAGGAGACTATATTTAAAAGAAGTAAAACTACCACAACAAGGACATATTCTTAAATTAGAGGGGCAAAGGTTTAAAAATAATATCAGGAAGTATTACTTTACTGAGAGGGTAGTGGATGCATGAAATAGCCTTCCAGCTAAAGTGGTAGAGGTTAACACAGAAAAGGAGTTTAAGAATGTGTAGAATTGGCATATCCTACACATAAGATAAGGCCAGGGACTAATGAAAGTATTTAGAAAATTGGGCAGACTAGATGGGCCGAATGGTTCTTATTGTCAGGATCTTACCTGATGTGGAGTCCAGTGTGCAGAGTTATACTCTCACCCTTGCAAATAAACACAGACCAATGTGACCAGATAAGAAGCCACCTGGGCTGTGAGTTTATGCACAGGGACTGTGCAGGTAAAGTGCTCCGAATCACAGGAAAGGCAAGGACAGAAGAAAGCAGAAGAAAAGCAGAAGAAGAAGAAGAAAAGTCAAGTTATAGCCAAAGTCAGGGGATGCCAGAGGTCAGAATTAACAAAGTGTAGCCAAAGTCAAGGGATGCCAGAGATCAGGATAAACAAAGAAAAGCCAAAGTCATGGGATGCCAGAGAAAAGCCAAGGTCAGGAACTAATAACGTGAGCGAGAGTCAATGAACTGACCAAGTTCGCAAGGCAAGGCAGTGCATATATACCCAGCTAATAAATTATCTGCTTCAGGTTGGCTTAGATAGACAGGAGCAGTCACAGGTAAAGTCCAGCCCCCAGTGCTGGAGACAAAGTGAGTTTAAACAGTGGGTTGAAACAAGCAATGAATTGTGGCTCCTAGGCAAGACAGTTGGACTACAGCACAGAAGGACCACAGCTCAAATCCCCTGTCTGGCACTTATGAAATGGCCGTCTGGATGGCACAGTGCGAATTGTGACAATTATCTGCTGTCATATTCTATGTTACTAATTTGACAAAAACAATAGGGATTGCTGAAACCCTTTACCCCTGCTGGAAACATAATGATAATGTTTAATTGATATTATTTGTCAATTATATACTTTGTTATATTGCCACTAATCCTTAAATTCTGGCAGAATCAGTGTTAACACATTTGGAAATTGAATGGAAGGTTTTGTACAAATTTAGTGGTAAATGAAAAGAGTCAAATGCAGTTATGCCTAGAATTATATGCTGGTGCTTTCAAGGTAAATAAAGAATATGTCAGGTATACATTTAAAATATAAACTATTCATTTAATTTGACTAGGTTTTTAGTTTTCCTTATTAAATCAGGCTACATGATTTGCAATATATATATTTTTAAAGAAAATGCTGTGGATAATGAAAGGCCGCCTTTCCCCCCTACACACTTTAAGTAGTTGATCATTAAAGTGTGTGTACCAAAGCCGAATTGGAAGAATGCAGATACAATCCAGATACACGTGCAGAGGAATCATATCCTTATCTACATAAAATGATGTAAATCATATCTGTGTTTAAGGGCAGATAGTGTTGTGCTTTCCATGCTTTTAATGATTGGGTATAATTCACATTTCTAAAAATGTGAATAGGCAGCATTTTGTTAGCTCTTAACATAAACAGTTCATAGATAACACAATTATCGCTATGTTCACAAGTATGTTTGCAATAAAAAGTTGAGCTAAAATATGGCAAAACATTTTCAAACCTTTTTGACTACACTATTTCTCCACCTACATCTTCTCTATTGACCCTTCTAAAATCAATAAAGTAAATGAAAAATGACACTAGGGATCCATGATTAGGATCTTATTTAAAAGCTTGGAATGATCTCTGCTTCTAATGGTCCGGAATTCTTTATTTCTATTTATTTTGAAAAGTGCCAAGATAGATTTACATATTACCCAGTCCTGATACAAATGGTTAAAAGAGGATGTTTAATTAGCTTAAGTATTTATGTAAGTGCTGATTATAAACTTTGCAATGAAATGTTCAGATATCAGAGCTAAACCTGGAATTCAAAACCACTGTGACTTGTAAGCTCTGCAGATCCATTCCGCTGTCATCCAATGTTGGACTATGGAGGAGACCTTTCTAATACAATCGTTACCAATGTCATCCACTTGGGTGTACAAGTGACCGCTGGCTGACATTGACCAGTAAATCATTGGTATTCCAGTTAATAATTCTCAGTGCATCCTTCTTATAGAATATGTGAGTTGCACCTTGGTGTTACATTTTCAAGATAAAGTCTTGCTTCATCACTACTTCGTGTGCACATTATAATAATACTATTAAAAAAGTATTTAACCAGGAAATGTATATTAAGATTACTCTGGTTTTCAAGTACATCCTGGGGATGTTACCTTAACCCAACATCCAGGGGTTGTTACTGAATTATTTGTAAAATGCAAAGGTAGGGACAAATGTCTTTAAGTAGAGAAATCAGCTTAGACACTATTGGAATGTTGTTGTGTATACCCTTGATGGCTGCAATACATTTTATATTTAATATAATAGACTAAATAAACTTAATCTGTTGTTGGCCAATATAATGTTTTTGTTGATGTTCCGCATTCTACATGTTCCACATTCATCCTAGTCATTCGGTTTATGTCACCACGACAATTCTTGCAGGGATATTTACTAAGGTGTGAACTGTCATAGGTTCAAAGTGAATTTCAAATCCTTGGCCAAAATAGCCAAACTAAAAACACAACTGACTTGGAGATTTTTTTCAGATTTAGCTATGGTGGACTCAAAATTCTAAATTCACTTTGAATTCCCAACATCTCACTTTAGTTAATATTGCTGTAGATATTAAACAGTAAATTGACCACCTATAAAAAACAATCTTCAAAAAAGTTTTTTTGTTTTATGAATTTGCTACCAAAAACTGTGGGGGGAAAAAAGCCACTTAGAGATCGCCAAGATAAGCGTCCAGAAGAGCACCTGGGATGAAACAAGACTATGTAATATTAATACCTTTATTTTCAAGAAGTGAATGAAGAACTGTCCCATATAGTCACTGACACCAGATAATTACTTTATGTCAATAAGATCATTTTCATTTGGCAGGAAAGTTGAAACATGCTACCAACTCTTTTCTTCTTTGATTTCCTAAAGACTCAATGCCCCTTTTGTCTTAATATAATGTCAGTTGACAATTAAGTTACCCAGTCTATAAGATGTTCTTAGCAAATTACTATACCAGCGGTTGTACTTATTTTCTTTTGTCAATGTTTTGTGTACATGTGCTCAGAATATTCATTAAGGGCTTTTAAGAAAATACTAGTTTTGGTTAGAGTAAGCCTTCCTATCCTTCCCCCCACACCACTCAAACTTTAAAAAAATGAATATAAAGCTGAAAAACACCACACCTTAGTTCCAACACAAAGGCCAGTTTTCCAATCAGCCCACTCTGCCTCCAGTGACATAACTTCCTGCCAGGAGAGGATGAGCTGAGGAGAAGAAATGGGTACCACAGAGCAAGGACATGCTGTCATTGGACGACTGTCACCAGCATGCTGATAGCATATAAAATCCAGCACGCTCACTCATTCACTAAACAGCAATTTGAAGTTTTACAGAATGTAATAGTTTTATTTAAAAACACCTCACTTAGGCAAAAAATAATGGGGGTCAATTACAGTATGTGACTATACATTGCATAAGCCTGCCACAACGTCAATGTACCCCATTCTTGGCAGGTCCTACTCTAGCAGCCTAATGTTCTTATGAGATTAATTTACTTACTTGTGAAATGCTTCCTCCTGGGACTCTCTGCAGGGCAAGGGGAAATGAAAGGGGTACTCTCTGGTTTTACACTCCTCCCTGTCACAGGTGCCTTATTCCAGAGCCCAATTTAAAATGTTTCCAGGTGTAATTCTACTAGCTCCTGCTACCAGGCTATGAAAGGAACCACTGCCTTACTTCTGTAAGTAGATGCCTATCATTACAGTTAATTCTGGGATGTATCAGTTTTACAGTCTCTGTGAGCTATGGCAGCTTATTTATTGGTTTCTAATGCCACTGATGCAATTATCAGTTGTTTTAAAAGAATGATTCTAAGCTTTACAGGTGGAACCAGCACCATGGAAACCAATGGAATACTGCTGCTGGTTGATTCAGTTTTAGATATTTTCCCTATAATTACATAGAAATGTCATGTATGGTCTTTTTTGTTTGCACCATATATGCACTTCCTAGAACCCTGCACCAGCCCTAACATCAATAATAAATGAAATGTATACTTTGTGAGAACTAAGCCAACATTAAGGGGACACTGTAGGCACCCAGACTACTTCAGCTAATTGAAGTTGTCTGGGTGCTGTCCCCTATTACACTGAGAGAACTGCATCGTTTACATTGCAGCTGTAAGTCTGCCCTCAGTGGCTGTCTACCAGATAGCCACTGGGGGCGCTTCCGGAATCCAAACAGACTTTTGGTCCTCACGGACCTCCAGCATCAGATTTTCCACATAGAAAAGCACTGAATAATGCTTTTCCATGGGGATTGCCACGTATGCCCATTAGGTCTCTCCCGCCGGCTGACCTCAGCGGGGGAGGAGGTTGGGCGGAGCCTAACCCAGCGCCGAGGGAGTCTATATATAGGTGGTCTTCACTTAATGACCTACCTGTTTTACAATGGTTCGAACTTATGACCAGCTCTCTAGCATGCTGATTCAAGTAATTTACAATGTTAGAGAGCTGATCTATGTTCAGGGAATTTTCTCCAAACATAGATTTCAGCGATTCCCTGCACTAGTGAGCTAATCTATGTTTAGGGATGTTTTCCCAAACATAAATTCATGGTATTCCCTGCTCTAGTGAATTAATCTATGTTCGGGGAAGTTTCCCTGAACTTATATTCACATGATTCCCTACTCTATTGAGCTATGTTCGGGGAAGTTTTGCAGACATAGATTTGCGGGATTCCCTGCGCTAGTGAACTGGTGTGTGTTCGGGGATATTCCCCCACACGAAGACATGCTCTCTTGCACATGCTTGCTAGCGCATCATTACATACTGACCAATTCATTTTATGACTGGGAAGTAAGAACGGAACCCTGTCGGTAAGTGATGGTGGCCTGTACTTTAGTTTGTATCTTTTTTGTTTAACAGAATTTCTCTAGAAACCAGTAAATTGCTGGGCATTGAGCGTATGCATTCCCCAGATATGGATTGGAGATTCGCTATCTGTGAACTTATTTATTTTCCAAGATCAAAAACAATATAAATTGTGTTTCCTCATTTAAGAATACTTTGAAACAACTGCATTTCTAATTGGAGAGAATATTATTTAAAAAAATGTAAATAATCCAAATATATGCAATCATGATTCTTCTAAACACATAACACATAGATCAATTAGAATATCCCAAGGCCACTTGAAATTAATGTGTCTGAAAACCATAAATCACATTTTACCCAAGAAAGATAAAACCTTAATTACAACCAACCTGATGTATGAAACCTAAGTAGTCTGTCATGCATCAAAGAACAGGAAGTCACAAACTTTCTTTCTTAGCAGAAAGGTTTCCGAGTACTGAATTTGCAGAAAAGAAAAACAAAGAAACCCAAAAAAACCATTAAATGCACTTGGCTCAAGGATAATCCTTATCAGTTTTAAACGCACCGGATATATTCATCTCTTTTGAAGATCAAAGTACAGAGAGCAGCTACAATAGATGACATCGTCCCACGTTCATGGTCTAGGCCTGTGACATATATAAAAGGATAAGGAGGGGAGGAAAGGAATAAGAAGAGAGATATGAAGGATATATCAAAAGTAATTTACATATAATTAATTTTCTTGGATATGTTTATATTTTAATATTTATTTATATCCACTATTATTATGAGTCCCAGATATCTTAAGTAATGTAGTCTAGTCATTTTTTATTGGCTACCATTTTAATATGTTTATTTATTTGGGTTCTGTACTGGATCCCATAGGTGGATTGTATATTGGGTGTCACAGATAGAAATTCCCTTTGCCCTAAATGACTGAATATAATTTTGCTCACTAAAGAAATATATTTGCAGTGATTGGCTCTCCTTAAAGCTCTGATCAGATTGTTAGCAGACCAGGGCCACTACTGGAAGTGTAGATGTTTATATTAAGTTGGTGTCAAAGACTGGATTGAAGGGCACTGGGCGCCATGATATCTGGTGCATCCAAAGTGAAACACTTGTTTAATGGTGTTACAAAACATTAATCAGCTGTTCACTTGACAACAGTAAGAAAGAGTATGGGTATGAGAAAGTAGATAGGCAGAGTTGGAGTTCACCAAAAACTAGTCTTCTTTAGAGAAATAATGAAACAAACTAGGGTGTTCTTTCCTAAGTCTTGAAGGGCTATGTCTTATGTCTTCTAAAAACTAGGATTACTTAAGTAGACTCTCTACTGCATAGTGACAATGACACAGGAAAGAGGCCTGGTACATATCATTGTTTTCTCATTATATTGCACCGCATCTTCACCGGCCTATTAGAGCAATGAATGACTCCGTATATCTCCAAGTCAGACATCCATAATTATGACAAATACAAGAAATATTCTTTAATATCAGAAAAAACAGTTTTTATGGCTTGAGGTTTGAGAAATTCCTGATCTCTTTTTTCAAGCAAGTAGGAGTTTGAAACATCAATTCATTGTCAGCAGCTATTTCCCCTGAAGAATAAGGTCCATCAAGCCTGACCATAATGTCAGGATGCCTTTGGTATTAAGGGGTTTCTTCTTTAAAAAGGGAATTGAATTGCAACATTTTGGACAAAAAAAAACAAATAGGAAAAATTCACCACCGTCAGATATAGTCATAGCTTGGTCATTTTAGTCTGAATTGTGCATTTTGGTTTAAAATTCGCCATTATGAATTGTACAGTCAAAAGGTTGATTGAACAATATAAAACAGTAAAAAGTCTTCTAATTTAATTCTTGGTCCATGTGCTGTTAGTGTGCAAATTTAGGATGTCAAATTAGGTGTTTTGCAGTTTGCTTGCCTATAAACATTTAGTAAACTGAGTGCTGTTTTTATGTGCATATGTTCTAAATGGCTTTGACATGAAAAAAAAAAATTCTATTTATTTTATATTGTCTGCCTTCAGGCTCTACATCATTCCCAACAATTACTGTTAAAGATATGAAAGGAGTTGTAATTGTCAGGAAATTTAAACCAGTCTAAACAAGTCTTAATAATAACAAACATTAAAAAAACTGTGTATATAGAAAATGGCAAGCTTCATTTACCACGAAGTGGTGGTTCACGGATGATGAAGGAACACAAGATAAATACAATTTATTTGCACGTTCCACCGTATATAACAATATGACTGAATTTACAGATGATATAAGATTGATAAAACAAGTAAGTTAAACATTAAGATAGCTATATTAGTTTGATATTTATTCCCTTTAAATATGTTTACTTCTTATTATTAAAAACATAAAACATAAGTAAGCGTTTAGAAACATATGCTTAAAATGAGGCCACCTTTTAAATTATGCCCTGCTTATAATGGACCACCTTGCCACAT